AATGTGCGAATGGCCTGTACGAGCCACTCTAAATCATCTTTTGTGGGGCTGGCCAGCATTCAAAGCCTACCGTAAAACTACAGCGTGTTCTCTCGGTAACTCAAAAATATGTACAAATCCTTCCACCATGCAAAGTCACCAAAACTCCGAAAGGCTATACCGGAACGCCTCATAGACTTTATAAGGTTCACGGACCCACGACGCAACCCCATAACCATGCGACGGACTAAGCTGGTTAGGAAACACAAAATGTACTTGCGAGTAATAAGATGGTTACAAGCTTCGGTGGCCATAGTAAAATCAGGAAGTGTTTCTTAGTCCGGTAAATCCTTCGTCTGTCCATCTAAAGTTGTTTAGCTGGATTGATCAATGACTAACCAAGTTCCGAAAGAAAATAAAAATATAAACTACAAAGGGGTTTTTTAAGTGCCCACTAAAGTCATTCTGAACTTGATATCTTTTTGGTATATTTTAAACTGTGTTTTATTGGCTTTGGTTGCTTTCAAACACAAACTAATTGACCAGATAGAAGCAAAGTAAAACCAAATTTGTTCAAGGTTACATCATCCGCCTCCGGCGGATTGTAACAAGAAAAACGATCGAAATTCGCCGACACTAGCGTATCTCGAGAAACATTTCCCTCTGTATATGCATTTTTTAATATATCTCGATGCAGAGATGCAGAAAATTTAATGTATATCTAAAGTAGTATCGCGATACATAAGATCGCGATCCTCCCGAGCCTGGCTGGTGCTAAACTAGCTTACCCTCTACAGGCAAAAAATAACTGGCATATCGGGTTTGATTCGTTTGATGTAGAAGGACCTTGTTAAAAAAAGAGATTTGTTTAATGTTTTCAGAAAAAGTTATGTATTAGCTCTCTCGTTCCAATGAGTGACAGTGACCTTCAAACGTGTTATAGAAACAAAATTTTAAATGCCACCTGAAATGCCAAAGACGTCCAAAAGTCAACTTAAGTTTTCACACATTTTTTTACGAAGTGCTGCATTTGTTTAGACTGCTCACATTTTTTTCTGGTTGCAGGAAGTAGATCGGATTATTTTTTGAAGAAACTGTTCATTTTCAGTATCTCTGCCAGTTTTTTTATAAAATCCTAATCTGGCAGCAAAGGTCAATTTCGCCTCAGATTTGGATAATTTTTAATCAGGAACAATTTCATAAGATCAATATTTGAATTGCTAAAATACGTAAAAAATTTAATTTAATAACAATGTAAGATTTCCTTTTCATTTTTTACAAAGTGTTTCCTCCTTTCAGATTGCCCATATTTTTTGGTAGCAGGTAGTAGAGTTGTTAATTTTTCAAATTAATTAACTTATTTTCAGTACATATCAACTAAAGGGCGTATCGGTAAAATTGACTGGCCACAGAAAGAATACAAACTCGCGACGTAGGACTATGAACGCATGTTTGTCGTCCTTCGTCCCGAGTTTGTTTTATTCTTTCCGTGGTCAGTCTGTTTTCAGTAAGAATGCTAATTTCATTTACCTTTTGCTAGCAGGGGCAGTTTTGCCTCACATACATATTATTTCAGGAAACAAAATCGTTAAGAAATCTGACACGAAAAACTATCAGTGCGTGGCAATGAACATAGCTACGGACTGCCATACTTGTCGTCGACATGACCTATCTTTTGATATCTGATATTGTTGGCATTCACAAAAAAAAAACAAGAAAAAAAAACGACACCTTTTGGTGACTGCCTAAAAAAATTAATTTGGGAAATTTTTGAGGTAATGCTTTTTCGAATCGTCCTTTTATTTATTTTTTTCTCAATTGTGTATTGGTTGGGGTTGGAAATCACAATATCTAATAGATGCATTGTTTGAATTTAGTTTTGGATTCTAACCACATAAACCATAGTTGAATTTATAAATCAATTATGACCTTCAAGCACCAAACAAGAAGTGCTGCATGTGCCGCAAAGTAAACCGCACCACCGACCGGAAAGAAATTTGCCACGTTTTTGACAAGGAACAATCCGCCCCGAGTGACACAGGTGTTTCTCTTCACATTCCCCTATCCTGTGGCAACTGTTACATCGGCCAAACTGGTAGGTGCGTACATGACAGGACAAGAGAGCGTGCAGCATCTGCCAGGAACTACACCAGGCCATCTACCAGCTCTTTGTTACAGCTGTAAATGCAGTGCAGTGTTCAGCAGCATCACCATCCAATGAAGAAATAAAACCAAAACATCCGTATGTAAGAGAGGCGATTGAAGCTATAATCATTAAAGAAAACTAAGCAACATACGTCAGCATGACTTCTATCAAGCTCTACAGAAAAACAAACAAACATTAATCGCGATTATTCATGTTCATCTGAAATGCAGGTCATTTGGAATTAAAGACGAAGAACCAAAAGAAGCAGATATTCTTGGCACATGAAGAGCAAGAAGTCATTGATAGTCCATAATCAATTATCCAGTGGTATCTATGTTTTTTTTTCTCTCTTTTTACGTTCACGTTTTCGTCTCCCACATTCAAGATAGCCCTAGCATAGTATCCTAGCTCAAGTCAAGAACGTTATTCAATTCTAAAGAGACGCCTTGCGGTACAAGGTTTCCGCCGGGCACACCGTTGTGCCGGCGCATGCGCATGACCCTCCGAGCAGACGAACATACAGCACACAAGGCTAGAACTCGGGAAGTCCGTAGCGGGTTCAAAGAACGCGAATCAGTCCCTTAAACGGCTGTCTAAAAAAAAAGCGTTTATTTGGTTGACATTAGTCATTGAACTCTCAGCACCGATGTGATGCCTACTCCGCTGCAGCCATCACTTATAAAACAACCATTAAGGAGGCTACAGAATCTTTTTTCGACGTATTTGGCCGTATATGTTAATTAATAATCTAAAGCAGTTCTGGATTACTGTAGCTAAGACGGATCGGTAAGCCACACCCTTAAAGTTCAGACGACGAAGAGGTTCGCAGTACTTGTTGCGCCAGTGCTATGAACAAAGTGTTTGTTTCGACATTTTGTATAATTCCGAATCCCAGTCTCCCTGAATTGTCACTTTTTGCAATTTTTTCAATGGCCCCAATTTTTATCAACACTGGAGGTGTAGCATGTTTGATAGATAACCTTAAACAGTCTTCTTCTGGTATCAACAACGTTGGTTCAAAGTTTCTTTAAAAAAAACAAAAACAACATATAGTTCGATTACACTGATAAAACTTTTTGACCAATCTTTAGAAATAAATAATCCGCGAAGATTGGAAGATTAGGAGAGTGATTTCCTTGCCGAAACCAGGTGATAAATATTGTCCAAATAACTATCGTCCCGTGTCTCTAACTAGCGTTCCGTGTAACATTATTCACATCTAGCATTTTTTTTAGAGTCAAATTCGTTTTTAGCTTTTTTTTCAGCATGTATTCGAAAGGTCTTTCTCTTGCAAACCTCAACTCCTGTGCTTTACCTATTTCCTTCAATCTATTCTTGAGCGCGGCTCCAAGGTACGCTGTATTATCCTTGATTTTTCCAAAGCTTTTGACAAGGTATCTCACTTCTCCTCCTTTACAAACTAAGCAAACTTAATTTAGATCGCAATGTCGGTGCTTGGGTACACTCTTTTCTCACTAACCGATGGCAGTTCGTTACCGTTAAGGACGTTGACTCTGAACGCTCTCCAGTTACCTATGGTCTTCCCCAAGGCTCAGTTTTGCGGCCCCTTTAGTTTCTTATCTATATTCATGACCTACCAACAAATGTGTGTTCCTTCGTCATTCTGTTTACAGATGACTGTGTTTCTATATCGCGAAATTAACAACAACTCTGACGTATCCCTACTCCAGCCTGATATGAACCACATATCTAAATGTTGTAAAGTGTGGTGTGTCCAACTAAATACAGACCAAATGCATGTGTGTAACCCGTCTTAACACTTCACGCCCCGTTCGTTGTCTCGATGACATCAGTCTTGAACCTGTTTCATTGTAGAGGTCTCTGTGTGCTTATGTAACCTCTACCTTCCCTTGGAAAACTCACATTGGTTATATTGGTAGCAATGCTAATCGCACGCTCGGTTACCTTAAAATAACGTGTTTTTTGTACCTAGGTCATTGAAGTTACTTGTTTAGAAATTAATTGGAATATGCTGCGTCTAGCTGGGATCCCGGGCTCGAATCACTCATTTTAAAAATAGACTACAAAATCTTTCAGCACGTTTCCTACTTTCTAACTATCACCGCACCGCCAGTATACCAGCAACGAAAACCTGCTTATCACTACCGAATCTTTCACAACGGAGAAGAGCGTTCCGCCTATGTTTATTTCATAAAATATATTATCACCATTCATCACTCAGACTAAAACTGGTAACAGGTCCCCGTTACGTGTCAGCGCCCATTGACCTCAGACATAAATCTTTATCCCATCTTGCAATTATTTTATTCCCAACACCTCTTTTCATTAGAATCACCTCCCCACATCTACAATTATTGATATTCACTGTTTTAGAAATGACTAAATTAATCTTCATTTTTGTAATGAGTCACTGTAATTACTTAATTTCTTTGTTGTTGTGTGTTTTCATGCCTGTTTATTGACGTTATGTTTTTTTTTCTTTCTATGTAACGCACTCCCCTGTATGACGCTGTTTGGTCTTAATGGTATTAAAAAAAAGAAGTAAAAATAAAATTGTTTATAGAGCGCCGAGGATCCTCGTCGAGTACGAGGAACGGATGAGGCCCGGGGGAAAAAAAAACGAGAGCTGAAACGAAAATGACGTTAAAATCCTTACAATTGCAATCAAGTGGCGGCGCAGAAAGGACAACATCGCCACAATAATAGTGAATTACGAAAGCACCGAGCTGCTGCCGTTGTGACAGAGTTACGCGGTAGCTTCAATGCACGAAATTATAATTTTTTTTTTTACATTTATGATTAACTCACAGGCTTCATTGTTTGAACGGGAACCCTGACAGGTATATAAGCCCGTGGAGTTAAGCTCGAGACTATAGGCGAATATTCATCGGCGATGCAACATCCAAACATAAATATGCTTCTGCTGTCCGTTTTCCTGGGTCTTCTTGTGGCCTTTGCGGTGTCTAAGAAAGGTAAAACATCTTGTGGATTGGCTCTCCGTTTTCCTTTTTTTAAGACTCCTAACATTTCTGCTTTAATGAAGACAAGGGATTTGCTCACTCCGCTCAAAGAACGCGCAAATGCTTTTAGAAACTCGCGGCGAAATACATGGACTGCCTCGTCACGGCATTCATCATCTTTGAGTACTTTCAATCACCGTCTACCGCAATCACGCACAGTGAATGCGGAGAGATTTTGCGCTCTATTGTGCACGTGATTGGTTGAGCCGTGTATGGTGGACGCACAAAGACGTGTAGAGCCGTGAGGATATGAAATTCGGCGCAGCTTTCGTGGCTCCATTGAATAACCAGCTTTGGTTACTGTCATACTTAATCTAGAAGGGACTGGAGGCACCCGAAAATGCAAACTTTTTTTGATGCAAGAAGAGGGTTTTATCCAATGCGATGTCGACTTCTTACCCCGCGCTGGCCTCGGGTAAATTCTGTACAAGAACTCAGCATTACGGCTCTTTAATATATAAGGAGTGGAGAAAACTACTTTATGACGTCACAAGATTGGGTGTATCATTCACAAATAAAAAAATTCAGACCTTACCTGGCATACTTTTTTTTTATACAATTCGCTGAGCTTTCACAGTCACTGCAGTAGTCTCCCGTCGCTTGCATTTGCTTTTATTTCATTGGAAGTTTATAATACAGTTTGAGTTCCTGCATAACAAGTGCTTTCTGGAATTACTATTTCTTCAGTTAATCATTTTTGTATAATTTAGCCAAGCGTTTTTGTGACTCTTTTACACTACAGTAACAGAAGTTGGCCCAGTTTAGTGCTCCTTGAAAGGGGTAAATCTCCACATGGGCTTCGTGGCTAATCCTAAGTCATACAACCGACTGACACATTGCAACTATAGAAAATGTGGAACTACCTTTCAACATCTTTTTTTTAGTATACTAACAAAACCGCGGAACTCCCCGCATAGCTTATGCGCTGCAAGTCCTGAACGGCGCATGGGCCAGCACATATTGTCGCACCCTGTACACATCATACCCACTGCAAGTAACGAAAACCTGTGACTGGATACAAAAGCGTCGTTGAGAGTGCGTCTACAGAAATTAGCCTTTATACCCCTCTAAAATAGATACTCAATGAAGTAATTTTATCCTAAACTAGTTCACGTTTCCTTTTTAATTCTTATCTAGCTAGGGCGTACGAAATGATGCATGGTTTCATCTGTGTTCTATCGCTTGCAGTAGCGGCGGACTTGCCCTGGGTTTGTGGCCCCAGAGAGGTCTTCAAGGAATGCGTGAGCAGCACCTGTGCCGAACTTAGGTGCGACATGGAAGGCATGCCAGAAGCCTGCACCATGGACTGCACCAGCGGCTGCTTGTGCGCTCCAGGCTTCTACCGTAGGGGGCACAGATAATGCGTTCCCTTGAGCGAATGCCAAATTGAGCCCCTCAAGCCCATGCCTAAGGCTTGAACGAATTTCAAGGCCGTTCCGGACCTCACTTACGACACTGAACTGCCACTAAATAAAATCTGGATTATAGGCAAAGAAACTTTCGTTTTCTCGTGTTCTTGCTTTGGGAATTCGCGCGTGCCCAAGCGTAAGGACTGAGGGCAAGGTTGGTTTGTTTCCACAGAATCACTCAAGATGTGGCAGATTATTTCTGTTCAAAGAAAAAGAAAAGAAATTCAACTTCTATGGAAGTCTCCAGGACGTCTAGGAACAGAGGCTAAAATTCCATTTGAAAGGACTGCAAAGCAAAATCTTCCGTGTCGACACAGGTTATTCCCTCGATACCGTTTTATCGATATACACGTTTATTCCGACATCGAACTCAGGCTATGCAATAAGGAGGTTGGATTTGAAAGTATGACAAATTTACATACTATAAAAATAAAGGGAACGTGTGGGGTCACACAGGGACGGAAAAGCAAAAATCATGTTTAATTGCAGCCCTTCTGTTGCAAATGAAAATGTTTTGACGCGATGTGAATGCTTCACTTACCATTTATGAGTTAAATAGTCACAAAAATGCACGAGAAGGGAAATACAAAGAACCATGAAAACATGCAGAAATCGTTTCTGAGCAAAATTTCACATATTCCTAAAACTACAGCGCTTCAGCAAAAATGACTTTTTTTGTCAACAAACTGATAGCCACGGCTGACGCCGGGGTGGAGCAGGGAAGGGAAGACTGAAGATAGGAAGTATCTTATGATGCTCTATCGCTGTAGGCGTTTGCTACCATTATCGTTGTTGTGGCATGTGCTGAAAATAAGCTGATATACATTGCTATCTTTATTATTTGTTCAACACTTATGCGCAAAGAAACTGAGGGAGTAGAGAAGACGAGAGGTCCAGAAGTCAGAACGCCGAGCTCTTATTTGAATGATTAGTGAGATATCCCAGAGCCGTATATAGAGAGAGTTTGGTGAGCTCGAGTAGGGGCAGAGCCAGGGAGTGCACCAGACGCACAAAGATGGATGCACATTCTATCGTGGCCAACCAGAAGCCGAAAATAATCTTCTAGGGGTGGTATCGCGAAACAGACTTAGATATGCCAATGAGATAAATTGAGCACATTTTCGTGGTTAAAATCGGGTTGCACGTGGTGATTCTATTATGAAGATGCAAACAAAGTTAAGAAGCGAATGCGCCGCTCAAACTTTGTTTTTGGTCCAACGGAGTCTGACTGCTCGGACGGCAGATTCCTGGCCCTCGACGCCTGGCACACCGATCAAGTCAATGGTTCTGGCAATCACCTATACTTAATATCTTTTATACCCTTAACTTTTTATATGCCTTCCAACATGATTTTTTATGACCGTGATTGAAACATCACGTCCACGATATTTTCAGTCACCGTGATTTACTCCGACCACAATATTCATTTTGTTTCTCGCGACCATCGCGAGTTCTCGTTGGCCACATTCGAAATTCTTAATGTGCCCTGCAACAGGCCCAGCCGTTTTTGGCCAATGACGCCACCTCATATGCTCCGTATACTTTCCAATGGATGGCCAAACTCTCTGTGTATACCTAAAACTAGCTGTCCACTGCACTCGTCGAACGTGTTTGAATGCGAGAGGGAAACGCCGGACGCCTGAGTTCCGCGTTCTAACGCGTTCAAGGTGTGCAGTGGAGACAAAGGCAGCTAGCTTTAGGCCTAGCCGCTAGGCATTCCAACCAGAATTCGGCGTTTCGATGTCCCCGCGCAGTCTCGTCACCACTTCCCCCTCAGTTTTTCGGCGCATATCGCCATCTGGCATTTGAATACCAAATGGTACAAAACTCCTTACCACAAGATAATTATTACGTTTATACGCACAGCTCCATTTCACGAATCCAATCGCAGCAAATGCTACGATCGAATAGAGCCACCCAACAAGCGCAAAAAGTGTATTGTCATGGCGCTCTTCTGCTTCGTGCGTTTCCCATCTTCAGCCAAACCAATCACGTTTAGTAAACAAGCCATGATTCTTCGTTTTATTTTTTGTTTCGAGTGAATGGTCTTGCCGCTGATAGCAAACGCACAAAAACGGTGGGGGCACCGATGACGCACTCTTGGCGCAGGTTGATTGACCGATTGGTGCATTTAATCAGTCTCGCAAGATGGTAACGGTGATTTTGTCCCGAAACTCATGTTGGAAATCAGGGACACTTGTTTCAGGTACCCACTTCTTCAGGGCCGTTACGGAAGAACCCGTCGGCGCTGAAGCATTCCGTCTTGCAGTCCTTGGTGCACTGCGTTCAACGTTCAGGAAATTTGGAGCACGGTTCCGCGCAAGAGGTTTTCTGGCACCGCTCAAGTACCCCGCCAGGAGCGCACTACGGCAGAGGGTAGGAAAGGGATGGTAATGTGCAATGAAACGAAACGTAAAGAGCCCGCTAATCAGTACAACGCTATGCATATTAAGTACGCCCTCCCACGCGAGAGTTGTACGGCCACTAAATACGTAAGCTTCTCCTAGACTGTAGACAATTGCAAGCATGGCGCTTCACTGCTGCCCCACTCGGTAAAGGGGCAAAAGCTCACCAGACAAAAGCTCACTGGACAGAGACTCACGGGACAAAATCTCACCTGTTTTTTCTAAAGCCCCTTCATGTTTCAAAAGTAGCGCAAAGTGCGTCAATGCACGAGGCACGTGCAATGTGCAGCCCTTGGGAAGATCATGGCGGCACAGCGCAGCGTTGAGCTAGATTTCCGACGCCATGTTCTTCCCAGAACTGGCGAGTGGCACGTGTCTTGAGCATTTCCACAACAATGAATGGTGCCACTTTTCCCAGGATAGAAGGGCTTTAGTTTTTTCACAGACCGGGACAAAAACTCCCCTTATTTATGTTGCTACCCGGGCGAAACATGGGCTGGGATAAAGTGCGGAGGCAATGGACATTGCACCATTTTCAGGAGAACTGTTACGCCATCCCATGCAAAGGTGTCGACAGATAAGCGACAACATGCATAGAAGCGACAATTTGGGACCAACATTTAGGTCCCCGAAACTCAGTGGAGCTGATTATATCAAGCTTGCTTGACTCAAGGTATGCCGGAGCACCCTTTTGCCACACCCAAAATATTTCGTGAACCGAAGTTTTTGAACCCGAAGAGTGACCGAAGATGCGAAGTCACGCATCAATGACCTCGCGTTTTTAATGTGATGATGTCAAGTAAACGCGCACATTAAGGTTAGGCACAATGTCTCTTCATTTCTAATGCATGGGTTTTCTTGGAGTTCAAAGTAATGTTTGAAGTGAATCGCTACTAAAATCAAATTGTTTCCCTTATTGTGCATTGTAAATGTATTTGAAATCAAGGATTATCTCAGGGTGAAGTGAAAGGGAAACAGAAGCAAACAGTAATATACAAACCCTTGATTTGCGAATTTTTAAAAAAATTTTGGAGGAACTGGATTTAGATCTTGCGGAGAAGCACAAGACCGATGACCAATTTGGAACGCTGAGCGGGATTTTGAATAGGCTGGCGTTCCTTCCACCACAGCTTGTGCCCAAAGGACTAACTAACATCAGGGAAAAGTTTATCGGTGACATCGGCTATATGATGGGCTACTTTGATTGCATGTATATCAAGGGCCCCTCCGTTATGCTTCTGCTCCTTCTGCGGTGGCACCTAGTGCGAATTCTTCCCTTTGCATGACTGTGCGCCGACAACGACCGGAGTTTTCCCAGGAAAGGTGGAATAAGTACGACGCCACTCTTCAAGATAAAGAGCGGACGAACAACGCTTGCAAAGCATGGAATACCGGGCTCCAGACGCTTGTCGGCGACACCTATCCAAGCGTCTGGAGGCTGATTGTATGCCTACAGCAAAATCAGGCGCTCGTTGCCACGGCACTGACACAAGCCCAGAAAGGTGAGCCCTCAGTGAAGCGGGTGCGAAAAACCACACTGCACTTGCAGAATCGTCTGAAAACTATTTGCGAGGGGTCCCTGGTTGACTGAGATTTACTGAGACCTCTGGCTCTAGTAGGGGACTGCATTTACTTCTAACCAATCGATGAATAAACTTGTTTTTGCACTAATCAACAAACCCTGCGCCTGTCAGATTTAATTTATGGTTGCATTCTTTTGTCGCGCACATGCTCCTAAGTTGTCCGCACTCATGGTAAGACCAACATTAAATTTTCTCCTCGAGCTTTTTTCCGGGTCTGTGAAAAAATGAGTGAGCTTTCGTGCGGTGAGATTTTTTCCGGTAAGCGTTTGTCCGGTGAGCGTTTTTCTAAAACTCGCCCCATGCGTGCTAGCATGTGCAGCGTGCGAGTGAACTTAGCTTTGACGAGCTTGCGATTGCACGTGCTTGCCCGCATGAACAGAGACATGACGGCTGCCAGATTTTCTGCTTGCAATCGTCTATAGGCAGTCATTCTCCCAGTATCTTGGGGGCGCCGCCATTTGGGTGCTTACCGCAGAGCGGGTGCAAACTGGGAATGGTTGCGATTCAAAAACGAGACTTGTTGAGCTTTAGAGACGTCGTTAGGGAGCTGAGGTGATATTCTCTGCTGCTTTCACGGAGTGATTTCGCGATCTTGGAGTACGCAAAAACGTTTTCTGTGATTTGAGGTAAAGCTTGGGACAACTGGCAATGATGATTCTTAAGCATTATAGATGGGTAAAGAGTTCTTAATCTGTAGCGTGTCCAGCGGCACTAAGCAGTTGTATGCAATTGTCAGTGTTAATATTGAAGATTTCAAATCGAAATGTGAAAAAATATCATAATTTATAAAATCACTAAATCACTCTGGTTTGCTTTAAATTATATTTTTTTATTTAAATTTGAGTTATGTCATCCAAATCAAAGTTATTTTATTTAAAATCAGTAATTTTATTTGAATCAGTTTAGGTAGAAAATAGTGACTGGTTATCACTGGATTTATATTTCAAGAGGGCACACAGATATATCAATTCATTCCATAACTGATAATAATAGAGACAAAAAAATTACAGTGAGTTTAAACTACAGTTCAATTAATAGCATTTTT